TTCGAGTTAATGAGTGAAACAATTGTCATTTCCAGAAGACACTGTTTCACTCAGGTCCCCTCACCCCAACTTCCAGATCTTATAACCTTTCTGCCTCTTCTTCTACAATGGTTGCTGAGCCTTGAGGAAGGGATATGGTATCGCTGTCCGGCTTTGGCTGAGCATTCCACTAAAATTTATTCTCTGTTGTCTGGCCATCATTCACTGAACAAAGAAACTTTTCTGATAGGCTCTTAGAGCTGCACTGATCTATGGGTAGCGATATATGAATTTAGGGGACAGTTTATTTCTGCTAAATGGACACAGTTTTCAAATTTTTTTTCATTTATATTTCATGAACTTACTGTTGACACTACAACAGCACATTTGGGCCAAATGTGGCTTTCTGCTCTGATTGCACCCACTCCATCTCTTTCTGTCCATATCTCAGAACCAAGAGTACAATGCAAAGGTTTTGCTGACATCTAATAAACATGGGCTAATGAGACAGAAGAACCCATGGCCACCTGCTCTCTGGGTCTTAAGGGAAAATACAAGGCTTCAGTTGAATGTGTGGTCATTTTCTTTCCTATTAATTTCCCAAGCTCATCTGTGGACTGTGCTCTTTGCTCTGCTGGGCTGACACAGACATGACAGATGGCCCTCTCATGGCCAAGAAGCTTATTCTGAAGCACAGTAAGGGCTATAATTTTTTCCTTTAAAAGTCTTGTAAATCATTTGTACACATTTGGGCAGAAATATTGTGGCATAAGAATAATAAATTCTATTCCATCAGTATGTGTGTGTGTATGTATATATATATATATATATATATATATATATATATATATATCTTATAAATATTTCATTTAGAGAATTGTATCTAAACAGAACATCAACAAAAATATTTATGGTGTTCTGTAAGACAAAGATTTCATCATATGGAAAAATAAACATTTATTAACCATCACAGCAAAGATTTTAAAGCTATCCATATCAAAATAATTTAAGCAATTTTACATTTAAGCATCTATGATGATCTAAGGAAGGTGTCTCTTTAAAAGAAGTAGGCTCCCATTTATGGGTCTACAACAAATGAATAGATGAAAAGAAAGCCATTTAGGTGAATGAAGAGATAAAAAGGAGATGAATATTTGCATTAAGAAAGCATCTAACATACAATTGAACAGGAACAGACAACCTCTAAAATGAGAAGGTTTAACACTGGGAATGCAAGGTTCATCTTTAGCTTTCTAGTCATATGGGACTCTAGAAGTTTTGTATAGAAGAGCACAAATGATAACATTTTAAAAATTGTTATTTCTTGTTACAAATTATATATGTATAATACATATATTCCTCAAAGAACATATAAATGTGTCCAAAGAAGGTTAAAATGGATGTTAATAATCATCTGTACTACAGAACTACATCTCCTTAGATCATAAGTTGCAAACTTTTTAGATTTAATGAATACCACTCAATAAAATTGTATACTCCTTAGTAGTATTTAAGTCCAATAATAAAGTTGCAGGCTGACATAAACCTTAGGCTATCTTGTCTGACTTTCTATCAACACCTTCAAAATCTCTTTAGAGGACTCTGAGTCCTTTCTCGACCAGTCAGCGACTTCAAGATCTCCAATTCCCCCAGAGGGACTCCTTTCAACAGCTGAAAATGTTACTTGGAAGAAGTCTCTTCCTTGTCTGAATTTTGTCTGCCATTGTTTGTTTGTTTATTTGCTTCTTCTCCCTTAAGAAGAAATCCTTGAGAAGAACTCAAGGCTTTGAATCTATTTAAGATTTCTCCATCTTTTTATACCATTAACATGACCAGGTCAGGTTCAGAAAATGTTTATCTGTAGTACACATAATACTCTTAAAGATTCAAATAAGAAATCACCGATGAATGGATTGAGAAGCCAGTTCAGTGGGAACAGTGCGTGCTATGCAAGCCTGAGGACATGAATTTGGAATTTGATCTCCAGAACCCCTGTGAAAGAAAGAAAGAAAGAAAGAAAGAAAGAAAGAAAGAAAGAAAGAAAGAAAGAAAGAAAGAAAGAAAGAGAAGGAAAGAAAGAAAGAAAGAAAGAAAGAAGGAAGGAAGGAAGGAAGGAAGGAAGAAGGAAGGAAGGAAGGAAAAAGGAAAGCCAATGGCAGTGGTCGATGCCTGTAATCATCCCAGTGCTGAGGCAGAGACAAGAGGAAGTCTTGGTCTCACTGGCCAGCCAAACTAGACTCCTGGATGAGAGCCAGGCCTGAATAAAAGACTCTGTCCCACAAAACAAGGTTAACAGTTTCTGAGGAATGGCACCCAAGCTTGGCTTGACCTTCTGCATGTACACACACACACACACAGACACACACACACACACACACACACACATTCACACATTCATTGCACTCATACAGACTTACCCACACACCTCTGCAACCAGAGACACTTGAACATACACATGCATGCACAAACTCACACACAAAGAAAATATTAATGAAAATGACAAAAATGCACTTAAAACATTGCTTGGATTGTAAGTGTATTCCTGTCCATTTTTAATGGCCGAAAGAATGTTATTCACTTTGCTACAAGTTCTGTCTCTAAGACACGACCCCCATTTCCCTGCAGCATCTCTTATAAATTGTAATGTGCATATTTTCACCTATTTTCTTGAGTGCAGGCCCACTTTTGAGTGTATCTTACTAAAACAAATAGTATTGAAGTAGACAGGGTGAGAAAACGGTAGAGTAGAATATAAAATGGGAGCTTCTGGCCAATGATCTACACTGCTGCCTACTTGCTATTGTTCCCACCAGGATGCAAGAGCATATTTATTATTATCAATGTCCACGCCATTTACAAGCAAGCATTAATGAGCTGTAGCATATGGGCATTATCTTTGGATAAAAAAAGTCTTCCTAAAGCAGTAAATGATCAATAGAGTAAGGAATATATATGAATGATTTATTTTCCACTAATTGCATAACTGATTAGTGACAGGAAGTGTCCTTCAGATCATCTAGTTTTGCTCTTCATTAATTGGATTGAATTATTACCTGAAATGAAATAATGAAATGTAAGATTTATGGGTACTTCTCTTTTCCTTCCTTCCTCCTCCCTCCCTTCGTCCCTCCCTTCCTACTTTCCCTTCTTATTGGGACAGAGGGTAGAGGGTAGAAAGTTTTTGGTATGTAGCTCATGCAAACCTGGGACTCAAGGTCCTCTTGCCTTGACCTTCCAGATATGAAGCACTCAGCCATGTTATCTGTGCCTTTACATTATTCATGACTCTACTGACACCATCTCTCTAGTGATATGAAAAGCCATAATGAGTCCTGAATGTAATAAGCAAAAATAAATAAAAGACTTGCTTTATCCACTATTATTGCTGTTGTTGTTGCTTTGTTATTATTTGTGGGTGGATTCCTATTTGTATTTATCCTGAAAGGCAGCTCTAAGCCAAGTGATTGACAACTTATTTGTGTATATGACTAGTCCAGAAATAATGAGTAGAATGATTATCAGGGTGACTGAATGAGTCCTTGTTGTTAGTTGTTAGTTCTTTTGGACAAAGGCAGACAGTGGTTAGTCTGCAGAGTTAACTCTTCAGCTTCCTTTGGTGTGCATAGTTAGTATGGGAAGGTAACTGCAAGAAAATAGAAGGGAGGCCGTCACCCCATCTTCCAGCTTTGCTTGCTCTTGCCTTCAGCAAGCCTCTTTATCATTCTGTTTTATTCCCCTTATAAAGTATGGGAGGTCTTGGCTGATTCTAGGTTAGCCCATTCTGAGAAACAGCTTTGCAGTTCCGGATTCTTGGAATGGGCCCAAATGTGAAAAGAAAGCAGGTAGGATGTTGGTTCGTGACGAATTTCAGAAACTTATTATTTTCTATGATTTTGAACGTAAGTGTGCTCTGATTTGGCTGAAGCCAGACTGTCAAGTTTTAATAAGGTATACAAAAAAAAAAAAATGATAATTCTGGGAAAGAAAGTGTCAGGTCAAAATTCAAAATGGAGCTCTTTGGTGTCAGAAGTGAGAGCTTCTGCAGAGAAAGCTGTCATTCAAATTTCCATTGAAACTTATTGGGGAGGAAAGAACATAGTAGGATGCTTTATAAAATACGGTGAAGCCTTATTTTATTTTAATTTCCCAGCTCAGTACTAAAGGTCTCAGGCTTTTCTTGGGCCTTTTTCTCTTTGAGAGAGTCAAAGGGTTATCTCTGTGCATGTATACAGATAACTGTTTTTCCCAGGTGTCTTCGTTCACCCAGGTGCCCTTGTCAATAGAGACACAATGCTGACGAAGTCCATGGAGAGCAACGATCCCGCAGAGAAGACACTAGTGTCCAGCGAGCACCACAGTGAGCTGGTTAGAATGTCCAGCTCACGTGTGCAAGCATTGGTCTCTGTTCCCTGGATGATGAGTAGTCTTATTCATATGAGAGATCTCTGCTTTCAATAAGCAAAACATAGGGATAATAATGACTAAAACAGTGTATGGCAGGGAAGACAAATCTAAATGATGGTTACTTTGTACTGAATTCATTTAAGAATTTTATTATTAGTTCGACTCACTAATGGCCATGGGATCGGTTTGCCTTTCATTTCACCAGCCTCAAAACAAAAGAAACTTTGGCTCCATGTGGGCAGGCACACACGTGTGTGTGTGTGTGTGTGTTTCTATAGTCTTCACATTCTGAGTCCATGCTAAAGAGGAAGATCTGAAGGCATGTGTGTTTTATCGGCTGAGAGGATGGTGGATTTCTCTACATGACGGGGTTTGGGTTGGAAGTCTGCTAAACAAAATGTTAAGAGCTGCCCACAAGGTTGTAAATCCACAGTCTGCAATGAGGAAAGGAGAAACGCAGCGAGCACTGAAGTGTGTGTGTGTGTGTGTGTGTGTGTGTGTGTGTGTGTGTGTGTGTGTTTGCGGGCTAAATGAGAAGCGAGAGGGGAGTGAAGCCGAGAAGGAGGGAGTGACTGGTGTGATTTGTTTGGTGTTCCGAGCCAATAGGAATCCCGGACGGTGATAATATCCCCACGCAGCGCCTAGAGGACCCAGTGCTGTCTCCAGCTCCTTCCACATCTGCAGGCGCGGCCAGACGCGCTCCGCCCTCTGCGCGCTCCGCTGGACTCGGCTCGCTCCGCTCACCCGCGCTGCTTCGCCTGCCTCCTGCGGGAACCAGGCTGCCGCTGCGGGGGTCGATCCTGCACGCACCGCGCTGTGGATCCCGTCATTCACCCAGAGGAGAGGCTCAGGGACACGCACAAGGGACCCGAGGAGGAGGCTTCCATCTCGTCATTGCAGGTATGCGGCTCGTCACGACCTATGTGACTGCGCACAGGTTTCTGCCTTTTGCCTTTCCCAGGCACCTAGGGTGGATTCACCTCTGTCCGCGGGGCTGGTTCGCAGAGCAGCTAGGAGCCCTCCTGAGTTCGCCCGGATAGGTACGTAGCTCCTGTGTGTCTGGGGCCACCAGGTGGATTCGCCTATTGGATTCTGAGTAGGTGGAAAGCGGAGACCTTTAAACTTCACCGCGATCTTTCTTGTAAAAACAGAAGCAGTACCTGCATATTGTGCGCGCGCCCCTTGGTGAGCTTCGTGATAATGGTGAACCATCAGGTAATTGTTTAGGAAGCAGGCTTTGAATAGAGTCCGCCTACCGAAAACCTTTAGGTGCTCCCTGTAGGATCAGGAAGCCACGGCAGGCTTGGGCGTAGTTTTGGTTTCCTAAGCATGTGGCCTAAGTGGATATAGTGTCGTAGCTGAAATACCACTATGTCTTTAGGCTATGTCTGAAGGAGAAAAGGAGAGAAGCGAGGCAGCAATTTAAAAACGTAGTTGTCCTAGTCTCACTTTCATTGATGAATTGAAGATATGTTTGTCTTTCAGAACTCCTGACAGAATGAGTTCTAAACTCCCTTAAATTAGGTTCAGAGCATAGGAATTGATCCCAGCACTCAAGAGGCTGAGACAGGGTGAAATTGTGAGTTCCAGGTCAGCCTGAGCTACATAGTTAAACATATAAATGAGAGAACGTTGTACAAAATAGAACCATTTTCAGGCAGTGTCAATTCATAGCTCCGTTTTGTTTAATCACTAAATGTATAGATTTCTCTATGTTTATTTTTGAGGTGAAAGTTGTGTTTGTCGGGGGAGGGGACAAAACAACTATTTTCCTGGGAGTTCTCTGTTTGATTCACAATTTCGAAGTTGGTTATGTAATTTTTTCCCCATGTTGATTACTTATGATTAAATTAACATTGCTTAATCAGTTCCATCTTCCCGGAAAGGCCAAAGAGACTGAGTAACTGTGATAAAGGATTAGTAGTGTTTTGGACAGTCCTCATGGTATTCATGGTCCCCATTCTGTGTAAGAAGTGCTTTTCCTGGAGTGAGGAGCACGCAGAGTTGGGGTCTCCTCAGGGTGCCAAGGTAATCAGATGCAGAATCTAAATGGAACTCTACTCAGCCAGCTCCTAGTACTTCCTGGTAGAGACCCATTCATTGACACTTCACAGCTGACTCATCCCTCCACGGTACCTGAGTTTCATTGCTGCCCTTATCCCAAATCTTGTGCCCAGCCAAGCAAGATAAGGAAGCTATAAGAAAGCTATTCACTTTGCTTATCGCCATGGAGAATTTAAGTTGACCCATTTTCTTTTAGTCAGATGAATGTGTGCTTTCGTCATTAAAAAGAATGCATGCGTAGTTCTACCATGGTGATAGGAAAATGTCACATTTTTGCCCTTTAACTGAAGTGAATGATCACACAAGTCTTTTTTTTTTTTTAAAGTCATGACTAGCAATAGATGTGGCAAGTAAATGCTATGTTTAAGAAAGAACATGCCGTTGCTATATCGTTCTGCACTTCCCATCACCAGAGAAACTGATTGTGACGTGTTCACTGGTCAGTGTATACAACTAGAAAAGACCATAGTAAGCTGTTTTATGAGCTATGGGGAAGCCTTATTTTATTCGAATTTTCACAGATCAGGTTTTTCTTAGGCCTTTTTTTTCTCTTTGGGAGAGCCAAAGGGTTATCTCTGTCCTTGTATGAAGATGCACCGTCTGCTTGTAGTTACGGTGGCTTATTTTATCATCATTATTAGTATTGGCATTGGGGGAGGGGGTACATGTGAGGAGGTTAGAGGAAAACTTTAGGGAGCCACTTCTCTCCTTCCACAGTGAGATCTTGAGCTCAAGCGGGGGTCGTCAGGCTGATGCAGCTGAGCCATCCTGCAGCCTGGATAGTTTTATAATGAGCCTTTGTCAGTCTTCTGTAACTCCTTTCTGCTTGCCATTCAGCTCTAAAGCCATGCTGGGTGGAATGGCACTGACTAAGTGAGAGCCTGAATACATGTGCATTGTATAGGCTGAGGTATCTGTGGCTTTTCATGTATATGTGTATGTCTGGATGAAGGGTAGCATAGACATATATATGTATATATGTACATATATACACACACAATGTTTTGCTTATTCACAATTTTGTGCTATCGTTTTTATGGAGAGAGGCACTCCAATGCTCATTCTCATTAAGTCTCACATTAGTTAGCCAGAGATCTAGATTTCCTCAAAATATGTACAGTATAATTCAAACAAATCACATGCCTTTAAATATTTTGGAACACCTCTACCTTGGCTCCATTCTGAATCAAGAGAATGGAGCTGAATCCTGAGTTGGGTTCTGGGTTCTATTAATATGAGATGAGTGGCCTGCCAGGTTCAAGGGCAAACTATGAGAGACTTCAGTCTTCCAGGCACACTGCAAGCTGTGCCATCCACGTTTGTTCTCCAGTTCTGTGGCAGCAAATATGCCAGGTGTTAGGCAGGAGCTCAGTGCTAGACTCCTTTCAGCAGTTATGAGAACATTTAGGAATTATTTCATCCCATGAAAATGCGGCCCTGTGTTGAGCTTCCGATCAGTCCCACAAAGGACCAGCATGTAAGATGAAGTGCTTAGAAGGGAAAGACATGTAATTGTAAATTTGATCTATGGTGGCATCTGCTTCCTCAATTACCTGCTTCTCCTGTCACATAACTCTCTTTTCTCTAAGAATTGTACACGTGGACTTAATAATGTATAAAACCAAACTTGATCACATATCAAGGACACAAAAATGTGGTCCTTAGGTGGACCATTCATTACAATAACCTACCATTTTGGGCATGTTTCTCACCGCCATCACTTCTAGTAGGAAAATCCCCTTGACTTTCCAGCACATTAACAGGCCCAGCCCTTGGTGGAGCATTCATTTGTGGAGATGAGTCTCAGAGCCGTGTGGGAGTTAAGAGGGTGGAGAATGAGATGTTTCACAAAGGAAGAATGCGAAGTGAGATTCTGTGATGGTGGGCAGCCTAAAATGAGAATCCAGGAGCCGGAGGGAAAATGACTCTACTTCCTCTGGTTAGCTTCAAGGATGTTCATTTGATGAGAAGTCCTGAAGATTTTCCACACTCTTTTCTGTGTTCCCAAGGTACACCACACACAGGTGTGGGATTGAAATAAACATTTTGGTGTGCTGACAAGCCTGGACATACAAGCCAGAAGAGGGCAGCATGCAAACTCTGAAAAGAAGTAATGCCTCTCTTTTCCATGGGCTTAGAGTAATCTCCCAGTGACAACAGAATGCCTGTTCAAGCTTACGTACCCTCCTCCCCCTAGAATGCACACTGTAGGATCTTCAAAAGAGATACATCACCCAGAGGGATTTTTTTTTTCTAGTTTTGCTTCAGAATTGGAGTTGCCTGAAATAAGGAGAGCAAACTATTGACTAGGGAGCCCGGCTTCTATTTCTTTTAGCTAGCTTCACTTGTTGACTCTACTCAAGAAGTTTTTATTACTATTAGGAGATGAAAGAATGGGAAACCAAATACAGGAAAGAGAGGGAGAGTGGGTTCTTTGAGGTTTCACCAAGACTAATAGTTTTTTTTTGGTTTGCTTGTTGCTGCTTTACCAGCAAAACCCAGCACTATTCTAAGTATGTCTTAAGTGTAAGTTCAAGGCCTCTGCAAAATCAGTAGTACTTTTGGAAACTGACTCTTAAAAGAAGAGATGTGGAATGAGCTGTTTCACTGATACTCAGAATCTAAGACATATTAACAAAAACAAAAATCAAGTATCTGCCTCTAAGAGACAAGACATGGTCAAACCTAACCCCTCCTAGTTATAGTCAAAACCTGGGATTTTCTTGTGCTGATTTTATCTTCAGAGATTACTCTGAAGGTGTAGGTTCTAAGTACTCATAGAAGAAAGAGTTCATCACTTCTACCTAGTGTAACTGGCAGTGATGTCTGTTAAGTGGTTGTGTGTTCTTATTAGGTGTCTCTTAGCAGTTTAGACATGCTGGCTTTGGCAGATCCTGTCTCTTTGCTTCCTTTGGTTCATCCACCATACAGTTCACATTGCTCTGTCTGAGGGCTCAAGGAGAAAGCTCAGAATGGGATTTTAGAACTCATGCTGGAGAAGGCAGAGCAGTCTCATTCTGGGAAAGCTGTGGTTCCCTGTGACTGAGATGGCCTGGGTTAGGGATATATGCCTCAGAGAAGGGAAATCAAAGGTAGGTTTGTCAAGAAAGCATAGCTCCAAACTCATAGGGTGGATTACAGGAGGCTCAGGCAGCTGCCCGTGTGTGTAGGAAGGAGACCTTAAAAGAGTTCATATCTACTTTTTTTTTAAGGCCACTATACTCTGCTGGAGGTGTGGTGCCTCTGAATCAAAGAAAAGAGGTTTCAAGGACAAAGTTGAAATTCTTTAGTGTCTGGGAGAAGAATGGCGTCCCTGGGTGTCTCCCTTCTCCCCTGTTGTGAGATGCATTGGCTTCTGTAACACGCATCCTTCTGTGGAGAATGGTACAATGCCTCGCTGCTGAAGCTTTGCAGAAAGGACTAGATTTATTCAGGGTCCTCATGAAACCAAGCGCCCTGATGTAAGAGTAGGGGATAGCAAGGGAGAGAGAAAGGGCTAAACCCAGGGATTGGGGAATAGTGTAAGATTTGTCACCTCTGGTAGTACACTCAGAGTCCCCACTGCCGCCTTTCAGTTCACCGTGGCTCAGCACCCCACCCCAACTCCTTTCAGAGAGTCAAATAAACCACAGCACATGTCTCTTTTTTAAAGATTATTTTGAAATTAAAAAAAAAAAAAACAATCTTTCGGTAAGAACATTACGGTTGGCACAATAACGCTAGTAAGAGGACAGGACAGTAAGTTCCAGCAGGACATTCTCCTCTCCTGCCATTTACTCAGTGTCACTGCAAGTGGGAGAGAAGACATTTAGCACGAGACCACCTAACTATCTCAT